ACAAGATAACTGTCCTCTTTTCACCAGGACCCCATGTGGGGCACAGAGAAAGCAAGAGCTGCTTCTTGCAGAAGTAGCAGAGGTAGGACTTGAGCTTCAGCCCTTGCGTTGTGGCGAGCGTCATTCCCGTGCTCTCTGGGAAGGGTTTCTTTAGAAACCTCAGTCTCATCACACCGTCTCTTGTTGCTCCTCTCTTGCTCTTCAAAAGCCAAACAAAAATTTTTAAAGATGGAAAGGCCGCTCCTGGGTTTCTGTTGCTAGACTACAGCGAGGATGTTTGAGTTGTGCTTGGGGTCTGCCATGCTGCCAGCTCAGCCCTGCTGACTGTGTGTTTGGGGACCTGGAGGGACCCTGAACTCTGGAAAACGGTCTCTTGTGTGGGCAGGCTTATTACTTTCAAAGAACACCTAGTTTCATTTGTCTCAAGATCTAGATTTTTTTAAATGATTGGATCACCTCATGACCTGGTCATTAAGTTGGAAAATAACAGCTGAATGCATGGGTTTTACAAATGTGTCCATGGCAGTGTGAGATGCATCTGGTTAGCTAGTCCTCTCAAAAAATGGAGCTTTTGAGAGAATTTTATTGAAGTGCATGTGCGTCGCAGGCCTCTCCACCATCCCCATGATGTGTGCTGAACTGGTGGCATGTACATGCTGGAGATATCCTTTGTCACCAGCCCTGGGGAAGAAATAACTGCAACTCTGACACTAAAGAAAGAAATAAGAAAACGCTTCCACCACGGGACGCGGGTCTGGAGGAAGCCTGGCTTCCTTAACTTGGCGCTTGTCGAGTTCCCTGCCGCTGTGGTTTTCTTCGGTGCCTGCCGCGCTACAGGGGCTTGGGCTCAGGTTGCTGCCTGGCCCGCGTCCAGATGCAGGGCAGGGGAACCGCCCCAGGTGAGGTATCACGGGAGGAATGCCACCGTGTGAGCTGGTTGGGCAGGGGGAGAGCCAGTTCCCCGCATAACAGTTACAATTTTGGCAGCTCCGTTTTGACAGAACAACCTCTTCCGCCGCAGGAGAATGTGAACCGATACTCGGTGTGTTGCGCTTGCAGCAGCGCCCCATCACCCTCCTCGCTGTGATGTCGGTGAGAGCCCAGGGGGATCTCGGTACAGGATGCACTGTGGAAACGCGGCCAGCCCTGGGAGAAGCAGCATTTAGAGAGTGCCAGCCATACCACCGGGCAGGGGAAGACATATCGGTTCTACAGAAGGGAAACAGAGTGGGAATGTCAGCTGTGCCGAAGCCTGGCGAGCCTTGCCAGCTGAAAGGTTTTGTGCAGGAGATCCCTACTCCCTGAAATGCATTGTCTGCCACTGGGACTGACTTTCCCAGGATGCAGACAGGGAGTTGGCAAGATTCTATTGGAGAAGCCATTTAACGTTTAAGGCACTGACTGCTTGCTATCTGGCACCTTCAGCTTCACGTTCACGATGAAGATAGGCACAGCAGGCTACCATCAGGTGCTGCACCCCGTAGGAAATCTCTAACTGCTGAGCAGAGGAGGGAGCTTTTCCTCTGGGCAGGGAAGAAAACCACAATGGAGCTTATTACATCTTCCCTGCAAGAACTGATGCTGGTCGCAGCAGGGCAGAGGCGATCAGCCAGATGGGAATGACCCTGCTGCGCAATAGCAGTTCTGTACGCCCACTCTGCTGCCTTGGCTCCCAGATGTGGAACCAAACGAGCACCCATCCTCAGCCTTGCTCCTTTGGCCATGGCTCAAAGCCCTTCAGTGCTGTGACAAAGACGATAGTCACTGGGGGACCACGGCACTTCAGCTGGGTTTTGGTCTGTACACTGTTTCTGCCTGCTGAGGAACACAAAAAAGCCATGGACCCATAAAGCCCTATGTCTCAGAGTATCTCTGAGTCTGAAATCCCAGGAGGCTAACTCGCCTCTCGGGATCAGCCTTTTAAATCAGGTTGGCGGCAGACACCCCTGTGATGGCTTAAGAACAAAGACTCCTTCCTTGCAGAGTAAACACCACCCAAACCGAGCTCCTCAAAATATGTGTTCCTCTAAATTTTTAATGCCATTTTCATCCAGCTTGCTTGTCCTGTTTCAGAAGGGCTGGGCCTCATAATTAAAAGCTCCAGCAATCTTATGTCTGGCAAATGTCATCAATGGCTTCGCTATGTCATGCCTTGCTTCTTCGAACAGTAGAAATGATTTGGAAAGGAGCTCCTTGATTAGAGAAACCCTCTTGAGGCCAGGGCCCGGTTCACTTTGGGTCTTTGTACCAGCTCGGCATGGAGATAAGCTGTCATGAGATCAGGGTCACCAGCATAAATGGCAATTCGCATTCAAAGCCTGGAAATACCCAAGATGAAGGAGCTGTCTAAAGCTTACAGACTTCTTCATCCTTCTCCATTCATCACAGAATGAAGTTATGTCACCAGTAGAAATAGCCTGGTATCTGCTCATCTAATCAGAAAAAAGTTCAGGGACAATTTTATCTTAAACTGGAAAACTGAAACAAAGCTGTCCCACCTTTTTGAGGGTGCAAATCTGGGTCGATGCCAGCTGACCCCCAGCAAGCTCTGACAACTGTCCAGGACTCTGTGACCAGTCTGCAAGCCATTAGATGGTACTCTGAAACGAGCTCAAAAATTTATGTTTGTTATCATAGGTGTATATTTACCCCATTGCTGACCCCAGCAAGCATTGTCACACCCTGCTGATTCTTGTTTTTCATCTAGGTGATGGTTAGGGAGCAAGGGATTCACCATGGTTTATATATATATATGTGTACATATATATATAAAGCACTGTTTTATAAAGCTTGAGAAGGGGGCTGCTTTACTCTATGTGGCCCAGCAGACTGTCTCAAACTCATACTGTGCTGTGGAGATAGGGAGAAACATGACAGCCATCACCTAATTAACACCTTCATCAGAACCATTTTTGAGGGCTATTTTCTGTATGGATCAGGCCAAGGATCCGGTTTGACGGTGCAGCATCACAAATGGTTGTAGGGCTGTAGCTGAGGGGGTGGTGATCTGTGGTGGCGTCAAACACCTTGGAGTATGAACACTGTCCGCTAGCTTTACTAGTGTCTTTTGAATCTACACTCTGCATCTTTGCTACCTCCAGTTGTGCTAATGTTTTGTATTTTATTTCTAGTGAGCACCACGAGAAGGAAGGAAGGTAAAGCGCAGAGGTTGCAACTTAACATGCGTGACCCCGTCTACCGTTCTGCCTGCGTTCAGGTAAAAAAAAATTCCACTTTGCAATATTTCCTTTAAAACCTGTCAGACTTTCTGTCACCAGACCTTTGTGTAAGACAAGTGCTAATACCAGGAAAAAATTGTGCTTTTATTTGTACACATGCAGAAAGGGGTTTTGCACGGTATGCGTTTGTCATTAACGGGGTAGATACAGCTCGGTATGTTTGTCACTCCTTCTAACAAGCATGTGATGAGTACATTCCATTATGCCAAGAAAATCTGGAGGGACAAATGGGTGGTGTTTGATTCACGCAGATTAAGCACAGAAACATTTGGTTATTCAGTTTCCTGGCTGCTCCATAGCACCCTGTTCTGCTGCTTTCACATTGTCTTCACGGGTGCAGCCTTGCTCCTGCTGATCAACAAGGGGCTGGTTGTGCCACTGACTTAATAAGATCTGGCCCAAGGGGATTGGTGCCATTGTGTATGTTTAGATTTTGACTGCTGGGTGGTGTAATGTGGACCTGGCCTTGGAGGGGCTCCCCTGGGTATGACGAAGGATGGAGCTGGGCCCTTCCACAGGGACTTCTCTTTAGTTTCCTCCGACTACCACTGGAAAGGAAACAGCAGTGTGGCTGAGGCCATACAGGGCCTGCACCACTATATTTTCAGCCTCTGGCTAGTGCAAACGAGCGCAGACCTCAGGCACGAGAATGGCCTACATACAGCAGCAGCAGCAGGATCAGAGGAGTCTTCTGCACACATCCAGTCTCGCCCAAGTCTTCCTTTGTGTAGCTTAACTGTAGCCTAGGATCTAAACAAGATGCTCAGCACTTCAAACACTTCTTAGATCTAAAACATTCTTTATTTGAATAAATAAATACAAAAATAGCAAGTTGTGAATATAAAACCTGCTCGTACAAAAACCCCACAAACTACCCAGGCACTACATTAATACATACATATTTTTGATACAGTAAAAAAATCTGAAATTGCACACAGTTATTCATTTAAAAGATAAGGCTTGAATGTAGTAATTTTTGCAGAATTATAGAAATAAACTCATTTAACACCAAATAGAAATACACCTGACAACATTCTGTTAGACTTTTAAATAGGACAGAAGGATGAGTGAATGTTGAATGTTTATGCTCATCTTAAAGCCATCCTTTTTAAACACACATACCCTCACACTGCTGCCTTTGGCCTCTGCATCAGTAAGAACTGGCTGCCCAAACCCTGCAGCTCCACTCTCTGAGTATGCGCAAAGTCCAATTCAACTCTCTCCCACTGGGATAAATCAGGTACTGCCCTACTAAAGTCAGGGAAATTACCACTGGGGTCTGAAAACACAAATGAGAGCAGAAGAGAAACTGTGCCCTAAACCACACAAGTGTAGGTGGTAAGGCAGGAACGAGTCCATACAATATTGGCCTGATTCATTTATGTGTCACTTTGGTTGTACGTTGCTGCTATGCCATGAAAACTCACGTAATCTCAACGGCATGTAGCTAGATGATGCACTGGTTGCTGTTCTCTGTTGGGAATGAATATTTAGTATTGATCCCTGATGAATACCAGAGCATTAAGTGTTTTTGATGAATCATCTCTTGCCTTTGCCCATAAATAAGCTAAGTGATGAGCTAGTGTAACACAGCTGCTGGACAGGATATTTTGCCTACCATTCAGGGAGATCTCTGCCCCTCAAAAATTCGTAGGTTAAACAGGAGAAAGCTTTACAGGATTTTTCTATACAAAAGGATTAAATGTAAGAAATATAAGCCCCACAGTTTTATAGAAGAAGCGTGTTGAAAACTGCTAGGGTTTAGCTGACAAAAGCAGTGATGGCTATGACCTTTAGAACTGACTCAAGCCCGTATGTAGAGAGAAGAACAGCGTTTATAATGACGTCTGCTTTCAGCATGTAAGTTTGCCACACCAGGAAATATACAGACAGAATGACACTTCCGACCGTGATCACAAGACTGAGCCCTAATGGAGCCTCTTCTTCTGTCAGGTTACCCTTTGAACCTTGAAGGAAACAAAAAGCTGATGTAAGTCTTTGATTTCTTCTGACAGTATCACTAGCCGTAGATCTAGAGTATTCCTGTTCAAAAAGGCTCTAGTTCTTACAGCTCAGAGTACACTGAAATACTGGCCTCAGTCAAGGCTCTGTCAGTAAATGTAAAAACAAACCTAAACACCAAAGGATAATCCATTTCTTGCTGACCAAAGTTAATCGAAGTAAAGAGCAATCAGTTGATACTCAAAGTCACGACGCCTACCTTTTCTTACCACAGATAATCAGTTCTGAAGGTGCAACTGTTTTGATCACTCAGCTGCTTAGTCAACCACCAAACTTTCCCCCAGTCTCTCCCCAGCTCCATACTTGGCATGACAACTTGGTGATTGCGGTGCACGTCAGAGCATCCGATCCTGATTTTAAAATCTTATGCAATATAGAATGTTCTACATTCCCTGCTAATCTATTCCTATTTCAAATTACAATCACTGTGCAGAAGCTGCACTTATCTCTTCCTTGCATCTTATTTCCAAGCTAGTCTCTGTATACAGACTTGAAACTCGCTTCTTTATTCACCCACCAGGCTCCAAGCAAACATACGCAGAGAGCTTTAAGGCAGAGGCTAAATTCACCCCTACAGCAAGTCAGCTGAAGTCAAGAGACCCACCTTGCATAAATGTCTTGGGAGTATCAAGCACAGATTTTAATGGTAAATTGTTTTTTAAAAAAAAGACTTTATGAAGTTTAGCAAGTTTTGGACAGCAGGCCCTTTACACTGTTCTGTCTTAGTGAAATGAAGATGTTGGAACTGGCATGTCTTCAGAAGGAGTGAAAGGAAAAGGTGTAGTCACAGTGGCAGCTGTACGCTGCTCAGAGACATCCTTAGTGTTACCCATTCCACAAGGCTCCGGCTATTTGGTTACTTGTGTACGTTGCTGGAGCAGTTGAAAGGAGCTGTATCACCTCAGTGAATGGAAATCTCCGTGTTTCAGCATGGTCTTCTCACAGTCACACTCCCTTGTAAACAGCATCCCAGTTATATTGCTTTCTGACAACCCAGCTATTCTTTTTTGATGGCATTACAGATTATATTTCACATGAGAGCAAATTCTATTTGACTCTCTGGCCAAATCTATTGATCAGTCAGATAAGGTTTAATGACATAAATGAACAACAGTCTCCAAATATCTGGTAGTCTGCTAAACTGGCATGTTTTGCCACATACTCAATTTCAGAATAATTAATGTTTAAAGATTATATTTCACTGAAAAGGCACAGTGATAACATGACGTACCTGAGTATAATCGGAGCACTTCAAGAATGGCCATAATGAAAAGCAAGGCAAGATCAGGAGCCAAAAAATCATCTGGATAACTGAAAACTTGACCTGTAGAATAACACAGTGTAAATAAGCCAGGAAAATACAGTAGGCATACCGACAAACCACAACCATGTCATAAGCACACAGCCTACTTCTGTGTTAGAATACGTGCAACTTACTTTTATAAACAATCATTGCAAGAGTCGCCAAGAAGTAAAAGATGTAATAAATCCCGTTTACATAAAATAGAATCTGTAAAGGAACAGATGACAGCTGATAACTGTTGTTAAGGATTTCTCATAGCAATGAGGTGGGATCCAGTTCATAAAATCACCATTTCCCAGTAACCTCAAAATATACTGCTGTGCTTTTTTACACTAAATGGTTCAACTATGACTGGTCTACTGCATAGGGTTCAGGAAGTAATTTGAGATTGCAAATACTGAGAGTTTGGATAAAAGCTTGCTGTTTCAGGTTTGGCTTTAGTTCCTTTAAAAAAAAAAAAAAATTTGGTAACTAGCGGGGTATTCATTAGCCTGAGGAAATGGCAGGGGGAGTGCATGTGTACATTTCCCCAGACAACTTCTATACCTGTTAGTCAGCCTTCAGCAAGTTGACAGAGGGTTGGCTGGCAGACTGCAATACATCAAATTCTTGTAAGTTTTTGAAAACAGGTGGCTCTGCGAAGCAGACAGGTCCTATTACTGCCCACATGATGGAAAGTCTGAAAGCTGTGCTCTGTCCTTGCTACATGCCTGAGAAAGGCCACGAGCTCAACTTTGAGATGTAAATTCCTAAGAAACAGACTTCCTCAATTCACTCCTCACAAAACTAACTGTTGTATACTGTGAGATAATATTTAGCTCTAGTTATTTGTCTATGTGGATCCACTGCCAAGATATTTCAGAGCTCTAAAATCCTTAATATGTCCTCAAAATGCCCCTGAAGGACGGGGAATATGGCACACGCTGTCCTACTAAGAGAGAGAAATTATTTGCAGGCTCAGGACAGGTTCATCTCACCTATAGCCACCCCAAGACGACAGCTGTCCTAAAGTTACGAATGGAGTCTGAATTAGCCGCCTGGGCTCCCTCTGGAGTCAGCCGAGATGAGCACCTTCCTGGCTAAGCAGCTCCTGAGAAGGGAGGGATGAACTACTGTCCAGTGTTAAACCGTGCCAGCTCCCTCTCTGACTGCAGGAGGAGTTGAAATATCTAATTTACAGGAGGTGCCACACATTAGATATCTTCAAGAGCCCACCCAACCCCACAGATTGGCATGATTCCTACGTAGCAGGTAGATACACAGCGAAGGAATCATTTTCTCTTGAGGTACAGCAGCATGTTGTTAATGCAATACAGGAGAGACACACAGGATGTCCTGGGGCTCACCACCACATGGAAAAGCTGGAATGTGGCTCTGAGAATCCAGAAAGTTTGGCCATTCATATGTATTTTTTATAAACAAATGATGCCAAATGCCTTTCTTGGCCTTAAGTAATGCAACGTAATTTATATAAGGAAGTTATCAGTGCAGGTTTCATTATTTCCACATCTGTCTTTCTATACTCAAAATATTCTTTATCCTCCTGTCTCTCCTCCAGCCCTTCTCAAATCCCGAGTATCTCCAAGCAGGGACTTCATCCCAGGCATCTTTTACAGGAACTGCCCATCCAGTTTCTGAACAGGGCACCCACCCACACACGGTGGATGTATTCCAGTTCCCAGAGCAGCTCATTTTATTAAAACAGAACCAGGTTTTTGTGTTTTTCCAGTTGAAGAAAGGTGGAGCAAAAAATTACTAGATAGGTTCTAAGCATGGAAATCTCTAAAGCCAAGGGTGTCTCCTCTTAGGAGGTTGCTTAGATCTTGGCGGGAGTAAAGGTAGCATGAATTAACATGAGAGAAGAGGAAGTACTACTGAAAGCTGCTTTTACTAGCTCTTGTCGCTGTGCAACGTCAGCTGTCTGTGAGGTGTGCTCTGTGGGGCTTGTGCCCATCAGTTCACAAATCCAATTTTTACCCTTGCTTCCTAAAGAAATGAGAGTTATGTGATCATAAACCACGGCTGCCAGCCCTCTCTCAGGACTGCAGGGTGGGTTAAAGGGGTTTGTGCATGAGCGGGAGCTGATCAGGGCAAAATCTCAGCTAAACCCCGGCTAATGCTGCAAAAAATATCTTCCCTTGGAAGAAATGTTTTACCAGTTTTGCTTCATATGGATGATGCTGATGATGGAAGAGTAACACAAACACAGCATTGTACGGATTTATTAGGCAGGAAGACGGGAATGCATTTCAGTTGGTTCCTGAAGATCCCACATGTGAGGGATGAAAGGTACAAAAAGGATACAACTGCTGAAGTTCTTCCTTTCCGTTGAGAAGGAAAAATTAAAGGGAAAATAAGTCTAAATATTTACTGAAAGTGCTACAGAAACATTCAAACAACTGATGTTACTAGAGAGGTCAAGCATGCTTGTAGAAATTTTTTTCTCTGTTCAATGGAAGACTTACTGTTTCTCAGATCATCCAGTTCAGGTTCCAAAAATAACTTTTTCAAATACATGAATTCTAAAGTAACAGGAAAATCCCTGTTGTGAAAAGCTGCTTTCACCAAGGAACTCATCTCTTTCAAAACATAAAGAAGTGCATAGGCATGACCTAGAACTTGTTTATCCTGTCCTCTCACAGCAGATGACATTCATCCCCTCTAACTATGCAGGAATAAGGAAAACATGCAAGGGAACCAGAATGTACCATTTGTTTTTAAATTGTGAGAATGCGTTCACGTAGAACACAGGGCTCCCTGGTTCCTCTAAATAACATCCTTCCAAACCGGTTCCCTTCAAAAGCGAAGTCATTCTATGTAAAACCTGTCTATGTTCTGATCACCCCCAGAAATCATACCAAGTATTTTCTATAAGCTAACCAATACATTTTCCTTTTTTTTTCCCCTGCAAAAACACAGTTAAAATTCCCTTGCAACGTGATGGCACTGACCTATAAAGTACTTCTTAAGTAACTCCACTATTCTTAGCCTCTTTCAGACACATGAGGAATTGAAAAGTTATGATCTCTTTCACAGAGAGCAAAACTGTCTGTGAAGGGCCATTTCATCCATCTTCTCAGAGGCATCTCATTATCATCAAATCAGTGGGACATACCTCACTATCTTCATCCCTGGGCTTCTTAAGGTTAACGTCCTCATCGCCTAATAGTTTTATGCAGTTGGGCCCAAATTAATCCCCACTAACTTTAGGCATCTAATTAAGGTGTCCAATTTGGGAATGCAGTGGAAATAGGCAAGCAGTTTTAGAAGGTGATTTGTACTGTCTATGATCTGAAATGACTCCTGGACATGCTTCATCTCCTCTCCGCTTTCTGTAAAGGGACTATAGGCTCCTAACAGACCCGTCCCTTCACTTAGCCCAAACGCGTATGGATAAATGCTTTACTTCTTTTTGCAGAACGGTAGTTAAAGGTTTCATTACCCATCTTGTTCTGGTGACTAAGGGTTAAAGATGTGTTTGTATTTATACCCTGGTATAAAACTCCTGCGAAAGTTAACGCCTTGTGTCAAGATTACGTGCTTCCGTTCTTGCACAGCAACAGAGATGTCTCCATTTTGAAGTTACTTTAGACCGTGAAGTAGGATGTTAATTTGAATACCACAACTGCATGTGCAGACGTGTTATTATTCTGCAAGAAGTGTCAAAATATGGAACTTTTTCTGTATAACCAAACACTAAGCAATACCAGTGCAGCCTCATCCATGCTGGGCACCTACGTTGCCATGATGCCAGTGGTACAATTTTATATGGTACGATTTTACTACACAGGTAAAACCTAGCGAACTCCCTAATGGCAGTTCCCCAACTTTATTTTTAAACTTTTTTTTTTTTTTTAAATCATTTTCCACAAGAGGGCACTGACCACATTCCTGCATCAGTTCCCAGGACGGGTTTGATGGCCACTATTATTTAGAACGTGCTGCCTCCCCCTGAGCAACAGGGGACATTTCACATGGGTTAAACATCTAAACCCTACAACACGCCTGTGAAAGGGATACTACAGTTAAGTGGTACTTATTATGCCAGATGGATATATAATTTCAGATAGGACAGCAGCCTGCTAATCCCAACACCCTGAGATCATCTCACTGCTAGAATTAATGAAGTCTGTATTGCTGCTGGGGGATTTTTAAATTTAAAGTGAATGTTCTGGCACAGGAGGAAAAAAAAAAACGCACAATAAGAATTTTAAAGGATTTATATAAAGTGCGCAAACTTGCAGCAGCGAGAACCGCATTCTGCTAATGGGGGCGTTTGCATTAGTGAGACCTGGTGTAGTGACTTTCCACTGTGTTCAGGCTGGCACCTGATTTCTGCCTATTGGAAAGCTTGTATGGACCAGAAGAAAACAAAGTTTAACATCAGTTGTTTCCAGTTGTATACATTCTTTAATGTATGAGGGTAACTCCCAGGGAACGAGGTATTTGCACTTGGGATGAGTATGGATTGTGAGCCCGAGTCTTTCCGAGCTGCTCACGTACCCGGACTGGTTCTCGGGAACGCAGCAGCTATCCACCGCGCTGCCCGTACGCACACCCCCGCCAAAAGCCCTGCTCTCAGGCAGCCCTTGAACCAAATCCTGCTGATTTCCTGGGCAGTTTTGTAGATATCAACCTACAGACCACGCTCCGGTTAAGTGCTTTATACAACAAAAGCATGACTACTTATCCAGGCCACTACTGATTTTAGAAATTATTGCAACGCTGTGCACGCTTACCTGAGGTAGAACATGGCCTACTTTCTAAAAAAAAAGGTTTATTAAAAAAAAAAAGTTTAATTTTTTTAATGCCGAAACTGCATTAAAAGCACACAACAGCTGTCGTTAGCACTACCCAGCACACCTCGTTACACAAACTTGTTTTCAGGGCTTTGGCAAAAGCTAATTGTTCAAGCCAAAGTTTCCAAAACCAGCTTTGTCTACCAAGGGCTAAATTTATATTTTGGGGGGTTAACCTTTGACCTTTTTGAAAGAAATGGAAAATATTCATTTTGACTTCGCTAATGAGCTGGAAGAACTTTTTTTTTTTTTGATAACTTGAAGCAGACTTGACTTTCAGAGGGGCATCACTCGGCCTCAGGGACGCGATTTGGCTTTTCTCCTGCGGATAAAGGTGCTCCTCAGCCCGCAGAAGCGCCAAGCCTCAAGCCCCTGCTCACGCTGACACAGGGCCCGCAGGTGCCGGGATTTAGCTCAGCGTGTCGAGGCTGTCGCGATATAGCTATCGAGCTGGGCTGGGCGCCGAGGCCTGATGACTCGACGTCGGCCCCTGCCTCGCCCTCCCCGTGTCCCCCCGCCTGGGGCGGCGAGAGGTAACCTCTGCCACGGTGAGAAGCAGCCACCCCCGGTCACCCTCCGCCCCCCCGGGACACAGGGGGAAAGAGCTGTCGGTATCGATGGCAACGCGCCGCTCACCTCGCCTTACACCGGCCATCTTGGCGCCCCGCCCCCGCCGCCTGCTAGTCCTCCAGCGTCCCGGCAGCCTGTGCGCCGCGACCGTTCGTCCGCGCGCGCCTGGGAGGAGCTCGCGGCCCTTCCTCCGCCCCCCCTGCCTTCGGGTCCGATCGGAGCGCTCGGCCCGGTTCGGTGGCTTTCGGGCGGATTCGGGCACTGCCCGTTCGGGCGTCTCCGT